AAAATATAAAATTCGTGCCCAAAATTTTAGTTCCGTTGGGTTCTATCGCTAGTGCAATCTGCTAACCAATAATGTGCAATCTGTTTAACATTAATGTGCACAGAAAATGCAGTTACTTTTTAATTACTAGTACGTAACCCGTGCGATGCACGGCCTGTATACTTTTTTCGGAAACATAATGTAGTACCGGTGTGCAGTACGGTGGGATTATTTCCTCAAACCTTTTTGTCTAAACTTTATTTAATATTTTTGTTTATAAATTAATAATTTGATTGTAATAGAAAAAAATAGAGAGAAATACAAATTACCAAAAAAAAAATAAAAAAAATCATATATTATTAAACACTTCTCTATACACAACATTAGTGGTTTGATTTGCTTTCAAACCTTCTTCTCCACAAATTAAAATTTTAAGACCCTTTCTATTAGTAACACGGGAGACAACGACATATAACTGGCCATGACTAAAAACTGGTTTCTTCAAGAATAAGCCAACATGAGATAATGATTGACCTTGACTCTTGTTTATAGTCATTGCATACGAAACCACAATGGGGAACTGCCTTCTTTGGAATTTGAATGGTACTCTAACATCCGAAGGAGTTATGGTCATTCGAGGTATCAAAACTTTATCACCTGCATGATCGCCAGTAAGAATTTTACACTCGAGAACATGATTGGAGAGTTTGGTCACAACCAATAGTGTACCATTGCAGAGTCCCATTGAGTGATCCATATTCCGCAACAACATAACTGGAGTTCCGACCTTCAAATTCAACTCATGATTCGGTGTTCCAGAACACTTGATAGTATTCAGGAACTCAGGAGTGTGGAGTTGTGCCAGAAAGTCGGTATTGGAGTCAGATTTACACGTACTGTCTGAGCTTAAATACGTGCGTCCTTCAGTCAAATTCAACGACGACATGTATGCATTTATAGATTCTACGATCTCGAGTGTTGGCGCGAGTATAGCCCTATCTTTCAAGTAACTTGGATCATCGGTTGCATTCTTGAACATCGGATACGTGCTTTCAACGATTTTTGCAATTGGATCATCGGATGGCTCTAGTAATAGATCATCTGGTATGTCTATCGGAGCACATCCATCATTTGTACCCCCCAATGTGCCATCTCCGATGCTCGCTATCCAATCAGCAAAAGCGGCTAGCTCGTCACGTTCATTCGAATCGCCAATGCTCTGAAGACGCATGTTCTTTGTAAGTCTAAGCACAGTACAGTCTCCCCAAATGGTAGAAGAATTAATAGCAGCATTAACAATCTCCTGACGATTCCCCTTCGGAACTACAGGCAGGATTTGTCGAAAGTCTCCACCAAACACAACAGTCTTGCCTCCGAACGGTTTATGATGATTTGCCGGGTCGATTGCTCCCATTATTGCCTTAAAAGAAGCTTCAACAGCTTCAAAACAATGCTTGTGCATCATAGGGGCCTCATCCCATATGATCAACGAAGAGCGAATAATCAACTCTGCAAGGGGGCTAGCCTGATTGATATCACACGATGAATTTTCATGCACAGAAAGAGGAATGCCAAATCGAGAATGTGCAGTGCGACCGCCCGGCAACAGGAGAGATGCTATTCCACTTGATGCAACACAAAGAACAATTCGACCACGCGATCTTAGCCCAGCAGCTAAAGTCCTCCACAAGTATGTCTTGCCAGTTCCACCATAACCATAAACAAAAAACACGCCGCCCCTACCGGAATCAACAGATGTCATTATTCTGGAATAAACACCCTTCTGTTCATCGGTCATATGTGTCAGCAATTCATCATGCTCATTAGCTAGAGCCTTACGGTCATAGTTAAGTTCATCCATAACCAGACGGTTCACACTTGAATTCATACTGCTCATATCTGGAAAAGGCATAGTAGAATAGTCCCGAAGGCTTGTGCCACGATGTCTCAATAATGTCTCAATCTCTGCAAGAGCTAAATTTTTTATATCTGCATCACCCAGCTTCAAATCTGAAATAATGATAGATGACCTATTAGATTTGGCTTTTTTACGTGGAAAACAAAAAAATTTAATAATTAAGAAAAACAATGTTATTATAATACTTGATAAATGCATAATATAAAACCCCCTAAATCTCATACCATCATTATCAAAAAGACGACGTTGCTTGTATAGTATGTCGTCAGATAGAAATTGCCAACACCGTTCCCAAACTTCATCGGGTTTGCCTAAGGATCCAGAAACCAATAAAGACGCAAACATGCGCCTAAGGGAATCAGCAGATGCCCACTGACTTGCTTCGGTAATTCCATCAATGTACTCTCGATCATCACCCAACAAACCTCGTGCATAGCAAGCATCGCGGTAGGACATGTATTGAACATCGCCTACCTTCATATAATCCTCGTGGCAAGTAGCTCCACGAACAACATTGAGCAAACACCTCAAATAATAATTATCACCAGCATTGGGAGGAACATAGCTCAAACGACCTATACAACCTGGCCTTATTCGAGGAGTCCAGACTCTTTCTTGTTTGTTCCAAACAAATTTGGACGGCGCCTCAACATACGTCAGTTTCCTCGCCTCGGGATACATCTTGTTCGCTTCCATCCATGCCAAAAATTGGCTCTCATTGACGGTGGGATTATTAAGAACTTCATCGATAGGATCATCATCATCAAAAACAATATTATGTTCACCTTTCAAATGGAAACTCAGACGTTGCACAGAAGGCTTTTTGTACTGCAGTTCATAACCCAATAGCCTCCACGCCGCCTCGCAAGAAGACACATACCGACAGTCATAGAACATGTTGATCTCGTCAATAGGTTTTTCTATTTCTCCATACGCAGTCGTCTGATAGAATGATGCGGTGACACGATCATGACCTTTATTGACGTACTTGAAAAGGTACTTTATGGATCGCGATTGATTACACCACTCGACGTTAATATGCGCTCCATATTTCATCAACAATTTGCGATTGTGAGGCACGACATAACCATTATGCACAACGACACCATTTTTGTCAATATGCCTTCCATCGTCTCGACGTCTGTATCGTGGATAACCTTCATGGTCGACAGTGGTTAAATCGACAAACTTTTTTGGAAACCGTTTACTACATTTGCCATCCACCATGCACGAAGACGATTTTCTAGCCAAACCACAAGGTCCGTGGATCATGTGCTCTTTTACTGCCTCATAATACAACGGATCCGACGTCTCATCAGGTATCTCCGCAGATATTACTCTGTCAATGTCCGACGGATTTGGGAATTTATTTTCTTTGGCGAGAAATAGTAGTATATGAGCATGCGGCAATCCAAGCTTCTGAAATTCAATGGTGTAGATAACTACAAAAACACAAAAGAAGATAAAACAATTAGAACAATTTTTAAAATGGTGTTAGACATCACGATGGACATATATACAACCGTTTTTTTCTTCTTAAAATAATACCTGCTACGACTTTCCCGAAAATTTTCTTTTTACGAAAATCCCTGATTAATTCCTTCAATTTTGATTTGAAAACTCTACATATAATATCGGGGCGATCCTCAGGTCGCAGTCTCTTTGGTTCCAAAAAACGAACAATCTCAGGCCATTTTGGATTGCAAGTGAATGTTACAAACAAATCGGGATAACCTGCCCAACCACAAATTGCCATTGCATCCTGATAGTTTTGAATCATGTTTCGAGGTCCCCCAGTGAATGAAGAAGGAAGTATAATTCTTTTTCCTCTAGAGCTTGGATCGACATCGCCCTGGAGAACTGCATCCGCCAATCTATTATACATATCACATCGGAGTCGACTCTGATTGAATCGTATATACCGCAACCTCGATGATTCAACCATGGTATATGCATCAACGACAAACTGCTGAAACAATCTTCTCGCTGAAAGAATAGAAGATGGTTCGTGTTTCCGATCATGGATCCGGTACGCAAAGTATTCTCGGACACTCACTGTTTTTCGACCACGCTCTTTTTCAACTTTTCGATTTGAAAATGGAATGTCTTCTCTATAGCCATCCTCACCGTAGGGCAAAAGAAGGGGATATTGTAAAGCCAGATATGAAGCATTAAGCTCATTTATTCGCTGTAGTCGCCCACTCTTGGTTTCAACCAATATATCTCGCTCACCCATAGCCTGATCAAAATCTCCAACGACCAAAACAGCAACTTCAGAACTCGTAGGCAAGTTATAACGTCTGGCATCATTAAATCTCCTTCCAATTAAACGAATCCTGACATTAGATTCACCATGATCTTGAATTCTTTCTCTAGCCAAACGAAATGATTTCAAAAGTTCGTTGTGCTCATCCAACATGGTCGTCAATCCAGAAATAATTTCTCCATTCAAATCAGTAGCACCGTCAAAATTTCTGAAAAATGAAAAAATGTTAATAAGGCAATCAAATAAAATATTATAAAAGATTCATAATAAAAAACTCGATTAAGGATATTATTTAAATACTGACCTCACGGCATTCATTCTATTCGTTACTTCATTATCAGTGTCATATATATAGAGCTGTGCAAATTTTGGAGTTGAACCTTCAGAAGGAAGTAAACTACCCATGAGATGGTAGTTTTGCCCGTGCAAACAAAAAACGGGTGGTCCCGATCCTTTGTTGATGTCGGTATTGATCTTGCCTCCCAGAGAAGTAAAGCCGAACATGCTGTTGTAGGATCTAATGTTTTCTTGAAAGTGTTTGCTAACGCGGCTATCTCCATGTAGCAATTCACTCAAAAATTGTGGCGGATTATGTAGAACAGGAAGTTCAATGATACCATTCACACAGCAACCAGAGTACATGGTAACGGCAGACGTTCTCTCAGAAGTCTTTCTCTCGGCATACCAAAACATTGCTCCACAGTACATGCATTCGACATTGGCATCACCCATGTCCCAGTACTCTGCAATTGTTTTGATGAAAAATATTATAATATTATATAATAAAATCAATTTACAAAATTTGTCATAAAATAAAAATTTAAATTATAACCAACCAGATCGTGTAGAAGTGCTCGCCAACACTTTTTTAGGTCGACCGGGTTTTTTCTTTTGATTTGTAGGTGGCACTTGATCAAGCAAATCAACACCTACAATAATATAAACATAATCAATTCAAAACTGAACACTAAATATAATTATATAATTCACTAATAAAATAATAATATTCATAAACATACCATTTCGTGTGGACGTGCTTCCAATTATTTTTTTTGGTCGTCCACGTTTTCTTTTAAGAGACGTAACTGGTACTTGATCGTCAGCCGTGTGATCCAATATCTCACTCGATATAGTTGGGTATGGCGTTGGATTGACAGTTATTTTTTCATTGTCTAAAAAACGTAAATAATTGAAAAACATTTTGTTTAAAAAAAGTATACATAAATATACTGCAATAAGTGATAAATCAATTATTTAAATAACAATATACCGGTTTGTGTGGACGTACTTCCTATAACCTTTTTAGGTCGACCACGCTTTCTTTTAAGTTCCGTAAGTGGTAGTTGACCGTCAGCAATGTCATCCAATAACTCACTCGATATATTCGTGTATGGAGTTGGAGTGACGGTGATTTTTTCAAGTTCTAGAAAACGTGAGCAATTAAAATATATTTACTTAAAAAAATTATACTGAAATATCCTGCATTAAGTGATAAATTAATTTGTTAAATAACAACATACCTGTTGGTGTGGAGATATTTCCTATAATTTTTTTAGGTCGACCACGTTTTCTTTTAAGAGTCGTAACTGTTACTTGATCGTCCGCACAATGATCGAATATCTCACTTGAAATAGTAGTGTTTGGAGTGCCGATTATTTTTTCAAGATCTGGAAAACATAGAAAATTACAAAATATTTGACATTAAAAAAAAAAAAAAAAAAAAAAAACTCACACTGCACTAAGTGATAAATCTAATATTGAAATAACAACATACCAGTCTGTGCCGACGTATTTCCTAAAATCTTTTTAGGTCGACCACGGTTTCTTTTAACAGTCGTAAGTGGTACTTCAGCGTCAGCTCGGTCATTCAATAACTCAGCATGGGAATCAATAACTACAATAATTCAAACATATAGTTATAAAAGGGCACTATTTGAAATTAAAAAAATACATTAAAATAAACAAAACATCCAGATGGACATTTTTTATTACCTTGTGGTTGCTTGAATATACTATCAGGACTAAGAAGCAAAACGTCGTTAACATCGTCATTGGTAAGATCAATGAAGGATGACAGTCCTAAATTTTCTGCAAGTAATTATAATAACAAATACATATATCACACTTAGTAATATATAAATATTTATTTATTAATGTTTAAATAAATACACTATTAAATGATAAATTATTTTTTAATATTTTTTACCATTGGTGATGTTTGACAATGGCACATTTTGAGTAGTATGCAATACACTTTGATATTGATATGAAACACTGCCCAAACGATTGTTGTTTTCTTAACGAATAAATGATGCTCCACTGATAAGAGATGGTGTACAAATTCCTGTAGAAAAATAATCTTCATAATATAAAGCAACTATTAATATAAAAACTTATAATCTGTTAATAATCCATTATAAAAATAAAAATTATACACAAATAAGATAAAAATAGATACACAAAATATTGTACAATTAAAAATTATTATTAGAAAATTTATTGAGAAAATATAAATTAAAAATTTATTTTATAAGTGTGGCCTAAATAATATTTTCTTATTTTATATAGACCATGAATTAAAGCACAATTTCACAGTATAAAAATAATTTTGAAACTTAATCTAATGGGATAAATAATTACAGTATTTGGGCTTAATAGGTAAAACCCAAATTACTATACATTTAATCGGGCCGCAGGTTTTGTTAAATAATCTGGCCCAAAATCTAATTCATACAGTTGGGCCAAATTTTTAGTTTTCAACCCAACTTCCAACATTTATCAGATTTTTTTTTTTTTTTTTTTTTTTTAGTCTAATTCGCGATCGGACGGCCAGAACTAATCCAGTAAAATCGAACGACTGATATTAGCTAAAATTGGTATAAAAAGCAAGAAGCACTGATAGGGTTTTCATTTCCTCTTTCGCCGCTTGGATCTATCTCTATCTTACCCTATCATTTCCTCTTTCGCCGACTTGGATCTATCTCTATCTTACCCTATCATTTCCTCTTTCGCCGCTTGGATCTATCTCTATCTTACCCTTCTTTCCATCCGATTTGGTCGCCGCTTCGATCTATCTCTCTCTCGATTTTTTTGTCCGAAAACGATCTTTCCTTTACAAATCTGTTTGGATTTTATAGTATAGTTGTCCTTTAATGTTCAGCAAGCCTTCTAATTTTGTAAATATCGACCGAATCGATTTCCTTTTTCACAAGAATTTTTTTGATTTATCGAAAAAATAAGTGAAAATTGAAATAGGTTTCGATGTTTACTTCCGATGACTACGATTAAATTTAATCCAAGATCTGTTTGGGCACATGTGAAAAACGTAAGAACAACTACCTTTGGAATTTTTTTTTTTTTTAAGTTTCATTTTCGAATTTGTTGTAATTCACTGAAAATTGTATGTTTATGTTAGATCTAAAATTTTTGAATAATTTTTCAAATGTTCCTTGTGTCAATCTGAAAACAAAATCTGTTTGTTGTTTGGTTTCTCACTGATTGTGGTTCGAATCCTCTAACTTTGTTGGAATATTTGTATGTTCAAAGCATATATTTTTTTGTGATATTTGTTCGAATTTTGCGAAACCTGTTTGAATTTTTTGTCTCTCTGAGTGAAGAGCGCATTTGATTAACATGCATGAACTAATGTTTTGAAATTGGTATTAGATATAATATAAGATATCAGTTTATATCCTCATAACATGTTATTTTCAACATTTTATAAACTTTTGATTTCAAAATGGTTTCATAGACTGGCATGTGGTTCGAATTATTTGATAAGGCCGAAATATATGTATGTTGATAGCATATAGTTTTTTTGTGACACTTGTTTGATTTCTGCGAAACTTTGTTGAATTTTCTGTCTATCTGACTGAAGAGCACATTTGATTAACAAATGGATGAACAAATTCTTTGAAATTCGTAATGTTCTAAGTTCAACTGTAAGTTCAATCTTTAAATTCTAACCAATTTCTTTTGATGCATGAGAACACTCGGAGCAAGGACATTGGTTGAATTACACCAAGCTTGGTTGAATTACACTAAGTAGCAGAATACAGGGAGAACACCAAATAAGGTTTGATAAACTTGCTTGTGGTTCGAATTTGGTTCAATGCTCAGAATATATGTATGTCGACAGCATATAATTTCTGGTGATATTTGTTCGAATTATGTGATGCCTGTTTGAATTTTCTGTCTGTATGACTGGACATATTATTTTGTCACATTTTAATATGAACTAAATAGAAGGGATGAACACATACATGAACTAATGCTTTGAAAAAGATTATTGAATGAATAGTTGATGTTTGTTAAATGTGTACATATAATCACACATACTTATATTAAATTCGAACTTGTTTAGAGTAATGTTCTAAGTTGAACTGTATATTCAAGCTTTAATTCTGACCAATTTTTTTTCAATGCATGAGAATCATCTAAAAGAGGAGTTTGGTTCAATTACAAAAGGTACAGACAACATAAAAGGAGTTTGGTTCAACTACAAAAGGTAAATAATACTCATGTATTTTCTTACATTATATAAACTCTTACTTATAATAACATAGAAGCTTACATACTGTACTATCCAAGGGTTCAACATTCAAGTGAATAACAAATTGGTAGCAACATTGTTCAGTAACATTAAAAGGTAAATATTTCACCTAAATATGTTTCTGTTTAATTATATAAGTTATAAAAAATACTTAAATATGTATCTGTTTAACTAAATATGTTGATTGGTTCAAATTCTGACAAAAAAATTTCTGTTGGTGCGAGGATGTTGATACAAAAAGCGGACGGCTTCTAAATCCCGTACATTATTAAAGGTAATCCTTCTTCACAGAATATCATTCCTCACAGTACAGGTAAAGTGTGAAAAAATAAATATAGGTAGGTAAATCTAAATTACCTTTTTCAATTTGATGTTTATCTCGATTTCTGCATTCATATGGCTGTTTGTGTGTGAGATGCGGTTGTTTTCCTCCTTTGTTATCCTTCATTTTGTATCCTGCATATGGTTGTTTTTGTGTGTGACCCGCGTTTTTTCCACCTTTGTGATCCGCGTTTTTTCCACCTTTGTCATCCTCCTTCATATTGTATAGCGATCCTTTGAGATGTTGCAAAAATTTATTTGCATATTTATCATCTCGAACTACATAAATAATGCATTCTTTTGAATCGAAAGAAAATAATGAGAGTGAAAAAAATGAGAGAGAATATTCACACCTTCACGCGCATAAAATGATCAAACTCTAGTGTTGAGATAATGATAATATTTATTAGAGATTGTAGGTCTTTGACCATATCTTTAGAAGTATATCCGATTTCGCTGATTTTTTGGAAACTAAATATACGTTTGAGATAAATAATTTTGTACATTAGAAAAGTGAATCACTCTACGTAATTTTATAAGAGATTTTAGGTGTTTGACCATATCTTTAGGACTATATCCGATTTCACTGATTTTTTGGTAACTAAATATATGTTTCAGATAAAAGTGAATCACTCTACGTAATCAGTCTCAAATTCACGATTATGCTAAGTATACTGACCACAATAAACCAATCGCTATCGGCAAAATAATATTTATAAAATTATAATTCATTTTCCATGTTCTACGATGATTAAGTAGTATAGTAATAATATTTATAAATATATTATTCGTATTCCAAAAAGTACTTTATTATCAATAGATTTTGTTATTCGAAATGAGTAAATAAAAAATGTGACGTTAAAAATCAATTATCCATGTTTTAGCGATATATTTAAATTAGAGCAGTTATTAGAATTATTTAGTACTTTTGTGAATGTACTTTTGTTAATGCACATAAGTGTACGAACGTGTTCAACTTAAAAAAAACTAAATATGTGTAGTTTACGAATAATGAAATTAAATATATATAAACACACATAATAACATAATGGGAAAATCAACTTTATTATTAAGGATCGAAATCTCGAAAACTATATGTTTCCTAGAGACATCAACTAAGAAGCAACATAAAGTTGCAATTATTCGTTCAAAATATCAAAAACCTTATAAAACCAACCAAACAACCGCAAAACAAAACAATCCAAACAAAAAAAACCATAATAAAATTGTTTTCCAAATCAAAACCAAACAACTAATTATTATTTCCTTCATCAGTGGGAAGTAAGTTCCCATAGTCATCAACTTTGGCCTTGCCCTTCTTGCTCGTCACGGATTCAGCTTGTCCAGCCTCGGGGTCAATAGCAAACTCATCAATCAAATTGCGTTTTGCATTGGATGTGTCACTAACTTGCTCAACGGCTCGAACAGTCTTAAGGGGTGAAATAACTTCATCTTCATCATCGTCCTATTCAAAATAAAGTCAAATATAAACTTGAAAGAAAATAAACTTAACTTATAAGTAAATGTAATTAATATTTAATTATAAGTATTTATACTAACCTTAGTAGCTTCCTCCCTTTGTAAAAGGGTCATAAAATCCGAGTTCTATAAAAAAAATCATAATAATTAATTTTAAAATCATGTAATGTATTCGAAAGAAATATAATTAAATTGTTAAATCTAATTAAACAAACTTACATCATTCTCTACAACCCAATGGTTGTACTTAGAAACCAAATTTGGATCAAGAATAACCCTCAAAACGGAGAAAGTAGATGAATAGCCCTTTTTTTCATTATTATTTGCTTTGATTCGGACCTTGAAAAGAAAGGTTCTCCCAACCAAGTCTTCTAGATCATCCGGCAGCTCAAAAACAGTTTTATTCTAGAAAAAATAGTAATAATAATTATAGGAATTATAAATAAAAATTAAATTTCGAATTAAAGAATATATATATTTGTTAAATAAAGTCACCTTTAGCACAGAAATTTCACGTTTTAGAAGCTCACAAGACTTTCCAATCATCCTTTCACACTCTCTATCCCAACACATGAAGACAGCACTTGCAGTACAATCAGCAACTCCAAATTGAATCTTGTACCTTTAAAAAAAAAACGTAAAGTATCTATAATCTATAATAATATACGAAAAGACAAACATAAAGAATGTTGTTCCAACCGTGCAATGCCACGTGTGTTAGTGCA